GAGAGGGAGGTCTGGGCCTCCCTTCTGAAGCTGCTGCCCCCGCGACCCGACCCCGGATAGGCGGAAGAAAATGGATGGATGGATGGATGGATGGATGGAAGTCCTAGTATGGCCTTATAAATAAAAATATGCCAATGACGGAGTCTACAAGGGTCCAACTCTGTCCATCCAACTCGATTATATAGTGTGCAATGATGTGTAAAACCTTTTAAACTTGTTATAAATCTTAGAGCTCCCTGACAAACAGTATCCAGTGAGTAAAGACATTTAAGAGAAGCATGCATGTAAAAAACGTCCCCATAGTCCAGTACAGACATAAACGTTGCTTCAACCAATCGCTTTAGCCTCAAAAGACAGACATGATCTAATCCTGAAATAAAATCCCAATTTTAATCTGAGTTTCTTCTCTAGCTGTTGAATATTGGCAGAAAAAGACGAAGAATCATCAATTAAAAATCCTAAATATTTATACTGTGACACATTTTCAGTTTTCAAACCCTCAGTTGTTATAATGACTGGAAGATCCTTACATTTCAAATCTCCCTTTTGAAAACAACATTTTGGCTAGAAGATGGTAAAAACCATTTCTATGCGCACTCAAGAGCACTACAAGCAGTTGAAGATAAAACTATGAAAGTGAAAATAAAATAGGTTTAAAAATTTGGCGAGTCAGAGATGTCAAAATAATATTTGTGTTAAACAGGATGCAAAATGTGTTCTTTTTGTTTTTGATATCGTTTTATTATCACTACTTGTATTCCATTGGTTTATACAGTATATGTTGTATTCATGATTAAATGCAGCAAAATAAACAAATTCAAAAGTAACAGATCTTTTGTAATACTTGGTTTGTTTACATAATGACTAATTGCTGGATGTTCGGCCCCTGAGCTGTTGGCCTGCTGTTACTGTGGCCCCAGCAGCAGTTTAGTTGATTAACCCTGTTGCCTGAATAAAGCCTTTATAGAAAGAAAACAGTGCTGCAGTCACAGTCTTATAAAGATTAATAAAACACTTGCCTGTAAAATCTGAGCTTGTGAGTTTCTTCTTGTTGACTTGCAGGTATTCAAGCAGGCCGATGAGCTTTGTTTTGTCCCCCCGGGACGCAGCTTTAAACAGTTTGTCCCTTGTGAAAACAGAGCTCTGTGGGCTGTCAGCAGCACCATAATCACTGAAACGTAAAGAAGACACGGATCTGAGTGTTTAAAATCGTGTAAAAAATGCTCACTAAAATATGAAAAATAGAAGAGTTTCAGATCCAGAGCAGACAGAGGGACAGAGACGGTTTCACCTGTTTACAGGAAATCTGACACCACTCTTGACATTCACCTGCTAAAACACAAACCTAAGAAGGAAATCAAAGGACAGTGCTTTGCCAGTTTGATCAGTTACCCTGACAGGTTGCTGTCCATGGGGACAGAAGATGAGTCGTCTTTTTTAAGGGGCCAACCTTCATCCTCTCCTTCCTTGTCTCTCTGATCTTTATTTGCCTCCTTTTGGTCCGTCGGTTCTTTGTCCTTCGCCTTCATGGTCCAGACGTTCAGAATAAAATCCAAACTGAGTGTGAGTCCCCAGGTGTAAAAGATGTGAATGTACGCATGAGGTAATGCTTTGTTAGGCCCCGCCCTCTCCAGGTGAGCAGACCTGCTGTTAGCCAAGAGCAATAAGAGAATGTGTCCCTCTGCAGGGCAGAACCTGTCTGAGCAGAGCGGGCTGAAGAATAGTCTTACCAACCTGTCTCTGAGACCACGAACCTGTTTCTGTCTCCACCTCTCCATACTGACCTAAGTACTTTGCACAGGTCAAATCAGTCAAAACGAGTAGAACTCGTTTGTTTAGTCCAGGTTCACCTCTTTGTAACAACCCAGTGACATCATGACCCCAACACCTTACAGAACCTTTCCACTTTGTTAAACATCTTCTCAGTCCAAACCAGCATCAAAGGACCTCAGATTCCACATTTCAGATTTGTTGACAAACCAGGATTTTTAAATTGTTTCATTTTCTTGGACCTCAACTTGGAACCGAAAAGTAAACTTCATTTTTCCTCTAGGTATATTTTCTGAGACTAATGACTGCTGTTAACTTGTCAAGGTCAGTAATCCTTAATCTGCCTTGCCTACTGATGGTCAGAGGGTGGTGCAATGGCAGCCCCACCTCTCAGTCTGCCCCAGGGCAGCTGTGGCTTTATTGTAGCTTACAATCATCAGTGTGTGAATAAATAACGTGGTGTCTTTGTGTCCTAAAAAAGTGCTAGGACTGATGCATTGTTATTATTATTATTTTTTTTAAATTATTATTATAAATAGTAGTAGTAGCTTCACCGGACAAAAGGCTAAACGACTCATGATTGCAAATAAAAATGGAGTTTCATCTCATTTATTATTTATTTTAATCCAATAAGATAAACTGCCACATTAATAAACAATAGTCTTAATCTTAATTTAAAATGTCATATTTTTAAACCTGTAATGCAGAGGTGTCAAACTCATTTTCACCAAAGGTCATGAGTGTTATGGTGGCCCTCGAAGGGCCATTTGTAGGTAACTTTGACGTTTCATGTTTAACTTTGACTAAACAGTGTTTTAACACGTCCTCTTTTAAACATTGATAAGAACTAAGTGTATGACTGACTAAATCTGAAATAAATACAGAAA